CCTCTTGCGACGATGCGAGCCTTGTACTTGTCAGGCTTGAGGGCAAATACCCATCTGCATGAGATGATCTTGGTCGTTCAAAGTTGTTTTTGTCCATGTATGGCATCATGAAGGGTGGTCAACACAGATCTCACTTCGGTGATGGCTGATAAGATCGTGTCTCCTCAGAATGCTTTCCTTGTCTTTCCTTGTCTTCACCTCTCTCTCTCCGTTACACAGCAATCTACCCTAGCTCACAAGCTCGCAGTGGTTCGTCTTGCCAAGCTGGCAATCCTGACAATGGAGTCATGGTGCAGGATGCACGCATGCACGCCGCCTTCAAGCTGCTGCTGGGGTGGCGTGTCTGCGCCGTTGTGTGCCTGCCTGCCTGTATGTTGCCGTCGTTCGCAGCGCATTGCATATCCTCCTGTTTGCTGCATCTGCCCTCTGCGTGCTGCGTGTTGCGTGTCCGGGTTGCATGTTAGGGTGCGTGTTTTCATGTTGGACAGACCGGCAGGGGACTTGGCCGCTAGGCCGCCTAGGGTGCTCCCTGAAACCGCTGCTGCTGAAGCGGAGAAAGGGATATTTCCCGCCGCGGCGCCATGTCTGATCCAGTAGTAGAGGGGATGCAGCAGCAGCATGATGAGGACCTGCCGCCGCGGGAGGAGGTGACTGACCCTCCGAGGGAGGAGGAGGGCGAGAACGGCCACGCACCCCACACCGGCGAGGCGCCCGATGAAAAGACCCACCGTGACGATGAGAAGGAGGACCGAGACCACCCTCCCCGCCGTGACGATGAGGACCAGGACAGGGACCGGCCTCGCGAGAGGGTCTCCGAGGACGAAAGGCGCCGCACGCGCACCATACTCATCCGCAACATGGTGAGTGGGTGTCTCCAGGCGGACGGCTGCATCCTATCCTCGCGGATGTGTTGTGCCGGTGTGTGTGTGTGTGGATGTGTATGTATCAGGCGATGGAGACTTCTCCGGGTGAGTTGCGTCGGATCTTCAGCAAGTACGGTGAGATCAAGGACGTCTACATCCCACTCGACGTCTACAGACGCGTCCCGCGCGGATTCGGATTCGTCGAATTCGCTGAAGAGAAAGACGCGCGCGAGGTCAGTCAAGGCATTCATTCAGCGGGCGAGGGAGGGATGGCTTGGTCGGCTCATATGTGTGTGTGTGTGTGTGTGCAGGCGATGGCTGACATGACGGGTCGCCGCATCGACGGCAAGGAGGTGGAGATCGTATACGGCAACGCCCGCCGCAAGACGGTCGGCCAACACAGCATAGCCTAGCATAGCACGCATGAATGAATGAATGAATGAGTGGATGAGTGCACTCATTCTCACGATAGATACTTGACACTCATCCATCCACTCCATCTGCCTGTTGGTTGCTCCGTGTGTGCAGAAGGATGAGATGCGCAACAGCGAGCGCAACCGCGAACAAAACCGATGGGGCGGGGGAGGCAGGTAACAACTGCACACACACCTACACCTGAGCGCCGAGCACTCGCCGTATGTTATGTGTGTGCATATATACCCATGCCCATGCAGTTACGACCGTCGTGACCGCTACTACGGTGACAGAGGAGGGGGTGGGGGCTATGGGCGTGACTCCAGGGGCGGCGGTGGGTATGGGTCTGGTCGTCGTGGTTACACGGACGACTTTGACGAGACGGACCGTCTCCGAAATCAGTACAAGTACTACGACGCCGACCGCGACAGAGACGACAGGGACCGGGGCAGGGAGAGGGAGAGATCTCGCGACAGATACGAGTGAGTACGTGAGGGACGTCCACAATGAATACGACTCGGGGGGGTGTTGGTCTTGAATGGCCGCTATGCTCTCCCTTTGTGTGCTTGTGTGTGTGTGCAGCCGCTACGATCGCCGTGACGACGACAGACGACGCGACGACCGATATGACCGCGACAGACGGTGACCGTCTGATCTGAACACGCCACAACCTCACAAGGAATCACCAGCTCATGTGTCTGTCTGCGTGTGTATGTGTTCTCAGTGAGCGTGACGATCGCATGAATGGGTACCGCGACTAGATCCAACACACAGGTGGGTGGCTGGATGGATGGCAGAGGGAGACAGCGAGCGAGCTGGGCGCGTGGATGTGTGTCATTGAAAGCGAGTACACACACACACACACACACACGTGAGAGGAGGGAGGGAGGGAGAAATTGCCACACCGCCGGGCGTTTTTCAGTCCGAACACGCACAATAGTTACACACGTGGTTGCCCTTCCTTCCTGACTGCGTCAGCACACTCGCTGTCTTGCCCCTTCGCTCAGTAGAAATGGTGTGCTGTGGTGAGGTGCTGGCTGCCTGGCTCGAGTCCCGACGCCACCCGAGGAGGGGGGTCATGACGTCGATCGAGCAAAAAAGGAGAGGGCAGGGCACCATCTCCGCGGTTTTCGAGCCTTTCGCGTATTGGCTGAGACGAGGGAACGAGCGAGCGAGGGAGCTGGCTGGTGACTTGGCCTGTTGGCGTGTTGGCGTGGCGTGATATTGGTGTGTCGCGTGATTTGGTGTGGGGTGGTGGTCAATCTGTGCGGGCGGGCGGGCGGGCGGACTGAGAGATGCGAGGCAGATGCGAGACCGATCTTGACTGCACCCACCCACCCCCACCACCAGACGTGTCTACATGAGTGCCATGTGTTTCCCACGATGACATCGCACCTCTCACTCTCTCTCTCCCCCTCTCTCTCTCCCTCCTTCCTGCTCTGTGTGTGTGTGCAGGTAATTCTTCCAGCCAATGTTTCAAGTGAGGTTGCCGCATGAGTGAAGGAACCAAGACACACGAATGACACGAAGAGAAGGGGGTGGGGTGGTCGGGCGGGAGGTGGCGGCGTAGCGTGTTGACGACACCGTCCGTGGTGGGTGCGTGCGTGTGTGTACGGGTGTGGTAGTATAAATCAAATCCGAGTTCCAGCAAGTTCAAGCGAGCGAGCGAGAGAGCGTGCTGGGCTACACATGCCTCCCTCGTGTGCATGAGACATCCGTCTCTCTACACTACATACATGTGCGGGTGTGTGTTGGTGTGGGTGAAGAAAGATGGGACCGACAGACAGACACGTTCGTTCGTTTGCATGTGTTTACATCCATCCGTCCATATATTCGTTCAACCATGCTCATCAATCACGTCGCCACGGAATCGCATTTGGCCTGCCCCCGCCATGCAGCCACGGTCGCATTCACCTCACTCACTTGCCCCGCCAGAAATCACGGCAATTGCTGCACATCTGAGTGCACACACAGTGAATAGAGCCGCTACTCAATGCTCGACCCTCTGTCTGTTTGCTGACTGACCTCTTGGACAATTCCGCGGTGTGTGTCGTCTCCCTCCCCCTCAGCAGCCCTCGGCAGCAGGCCATCACGCTCGTCATGCTCGCCTTCGAGCACTGACCCACGTGTGGACGACACAGGCTGACCTGCAGGAGCTTCGACAGAACTTCGCAGAGACAGACAGACAGACACACAGACACACAGACACAGACAGACAGACAGACAGACACACAGAGAGAGAGATGCAGGTGGGGGATCAAATCGTTTGTGCGCATGGTGACTGACCTTTGTGCGTCCCTCAGTAGTCTTGTTCGTCTCCTCTTTTGTGCGATGTCTGTGTGTGTGGTAGAGTGAGTGGCGATGAGAGAGCACTGGTAGACGGTGAGGATGACCAGCGCGAGCAGACTGCCAGAGTGCAGCACCAACACCTGGCAATCGCAGTCATCACGATCGACAAAAGGTGGATGGTGTGTGTGTGTGTTGTCTGCCTGTCTGCACCTACGAGCAAAATAAGTCCATATCTGCGCATGACAGCCGCCAGAAACGACCAGAAATCTCCCCTCTGTGAGACATCCATGCCACACCATACACACACGATACAAACACACACACAAGGAGACATGGCGCGCACTCTGGTGTCTGTCTGTCTGTCTGTCAGTCTATCAGTCTCTCTCTGTGTCTCACGAATTCGGGTAGAGGATTGGCGTCCCGGAGCATCGAGTTGAGAGCCAACACACACAGGCACATGTTCAAGGACTGAGCATACACAGACATAGACCAACAGAGAACGGCGCAGCGTCTGTCTCTGTCTCTACCCTCGTGCCTCTCTTTGTCTCTTGCCTGTAGAACGCTTTGCAGTGCGAGGAAGACGGTAAATTGTCTCCTGTTGCCCTTGCCAATGGCATTTTTGATCCACATGCAGTAGTGGTCAAACCCTTCGACGCACCGGTCCATCGTCCTGCATGGACAGACAAAGCAGTGAGTGAGTGAGGGAGACAGCTTGTGTGTCAGTCTGTCTGTCTGTCTGTGTGGAGGAGGGGAATCTTGGGGGATTTGGTCACGAGCAGTGTTTGACGCCTTCTGCCTTGACGATCCAGCAAGTGTAGCAGAGGCGCTCAACGTCCGCACGGAGGCTCGGCTCGTCGGGCTCCTCACACCTGTCAATGCGATCCATCAAATCCTATAAACACAAGACACACAGGGACTTCACAGCTGTTGTCGATCCCTGTTTGTGTATTTGGCCTCTCACCTCGACGGCCGTCTTGCCCCTGGGTGGGATGGGGACACATCCCGGATCGCCCGAGACCGTCCACAGCCACCAGAGGAAGGTGAAGAGGGCCAAGATCTCAAACACGTGACACACAGCAGGAGACATCACAATCACCACCGGACGAACCTACAGCGCATGCAGACACAGATGGAGTCTGACACGTATGCATGACGGCATTGCTCTCACATCGATGCATCTCACATACTTACTTGCAGATGCCAGGCAACCATCATGATGGTGTTGCACACCGGGTACACTGCAGCAGCCACCCAGTCACACACACCGGGCCTCCCACGCTCACGACGCACATGCGCCCGCGAGCCGCCACCCCCAGCCCCACCCCCTGTGACCAGCGGTTGCCGCTCTTCCTCCCATTGCCTGCGGGCGTATCTTTTGGCCGATCGCCGCAGGCGGACCGCCAGCGCACGATGGCCTGCCTTTCGGGCCATATCGATGGCCGTCTGCACATCCGGACATACACGCATCCATATACTGTATATGGGCATTTCTTCACGGCTTACAGCGTCGGAAGAGTTTGTCTCCGTCGGGCTCAGCTCAATAGCCTCGATAAGGTACATCGATACGGTGTAGTTGCCCGCATGCGCCGCCACGTGCAGCGGCGTCCCGCCCCGATGGTCCCTCACATGAAAGCTGCCGTAGTCAAAGTACTCGAGCACGCGGACGAAGCGTATCGCGCCTTTGTATGCCGCCCAGTGGGCCACAGTGCCGCCATTGGCATCCGTGAGGGTCAGGTCGGCCCCCCTCTTGAGCAACAGCAAGAATACTGCCAGATCGTTGCCAATCAGAGAGCGGATGAGCGGCGTGTTGCCCTGTCTGTCTCGGCAGTTGATGTTGGCCTGGTAGGTGAGCAGTAGCCTCATCATCTCGAGGCTGCCCCTGGCCACAGCGCACATGAGAGGTGTCTCCTTGCTGTCGCTCTCAGCGTTCGCGTCAGCACCTTTTACCTATAACAGACGCACATGCACACCCCGGGGGGCAGTGCAAAGAAATAATGCACGGCGGCTGGGCCGCTCACCAACAAGAATCGGGCAAAAGCCACTGCCGCCCTCGACAGCCCGAATCCACCAGCCGTCCTGTGGAGCAATGTCTGTCCTTTCTCGTCTTTGGCATTCAGCAGCTGAGGAGAGTGAGAAACCTTCCTCTCGAGTGCACAAAAGTCTCCGGCCTCCAGCAGATCAGTCACCGGGGCGGACATGATGCTCCTTGCAGATGCGCTGGTGCTGCTGATGTCTGTGGTTTCTGTGGGAGGAATGATCATTGGTACGGCCAGCTGGGGATACCGCTGCCTATATGCTCTGTGAGAGGCCCGTCCACCAGGGAAGGGGGGGCGTACCCCCCAGGGGGCCGAGACGGCGACGAGCTCGCACTCATGGGGCCAGTTTCGCATGCACAACGGGCAAGATGGACCATTCAACGTGGACCAGCAGCACTGTTGAGGAGGACCACAGGAGAGCAGCGTTGTCTTCACATCATGGGATCAGCCATCATTTCAATCTGGCCAAGTTTAAAGACGCGCAACGTTCTCAGCCTGGAGGCGACGAGCTCGAGAAAGCGCTGCAGCAGCAGCAGTACACAGCCGCGTTGCAACCACCGCCACTCATTGCAAGCCCCCTTAAGACGGATCTGCTGATTCAGCAGCGCTTACCATCTGGATGGAACACTGTCCCGTCTTTCGGCGGCCTGATCATGAGTGCCAGTGTGGGTCAGCCGGGGGGACGGATGGCAGCTGCAGCGCACGACCCGTACGCGGCCGTGCCGCCGGGAACGTACACGAGTTCGCCGCCATCTGCGTCCCGCTCCCTCACCTCCGAGCCGCCCGAGAGACAGGAGACAGGGAGAGAGGTGGAAGACAACAGTCGGGCCGCTGGCGGGTCAGAGAGGGTATCAATCCCTCGTCTGTCCATCCACCGCATTGAGGGGCAGCTCGATGACAACACCACGCTCGGAGCCCTCCCCTTTCTGCCGGGAAGAGACAGCAGGCATCGTGAGCAAAATCCAGAGCCCCCAGACGCAGATCTGCCATCAGCTCCACCACGCGCCGACAACAGAAGCCACGACCCGACCAACACCCGTGGCTGCCTTCTACTGCAGCCCGTCCGTCACGTCCACCACAGCCGCAGACACGTTGGTGTATCGGTGAGTGATGGCGACCGACGTGAGTGCGAGGCGACGGCGGATGAGGTGACCATTGCGCAGCTGAGAAAGGAGCTGAAGGACTTGTCGCGGAAACGGCGGATGCACCAGACTAGCCAGCATGCCAATGACACACCCAAATTGCCTGTAAGGGGCAGCCGGAAGAGCAGTCCTGATAGAAGAAAAGATCTTGCACGACATGTGTGTATGTTATGGCCAGACGAAGAGAAGTGAGGCCACCCCGTCGACGTTCAATGATGCCTTCCACGACTCTCAACTCACCGCGTCTGAGGTACATACGTACGCAAGCAAGAGACCGCCATTGCATTGCCCTTCCTATTCTGTCTGTCTGTCGGTCTGTCTGTCTCTCTCCACAGGTGGATCATTCCCAGCTGACGCGGCTTCGCCTCGAGCAGGAGATTCACCAGAGAGACAGGCAGCTGCACACCCTGCTCGGTAAGTCCGCCCCCTGACCAACCATACGCACTGTCGATCGACTTGGCTTCCTGCCTGCCTGCCTGCGTGCAGATTGGAAGGAGTCGGCGGCCGCGCACATGAGAGAGCTGCAGGGGAGGCTTGATAACATGGCCGAGGAGAACGCCATGCTCAAGGAGGAGCGGATGCATGCAATCGCTACCGCACAGGTGCGCTTTGTCGGAAACGCCATAGATACTTTGCACACACCTGTGTATACAGACAGACCGATTCAGTGCTAACGAGTGTATGTATGCCATCGATTGCAATGTTTCTGGCAGGATGAGGTTGAGCGGATGGCCTGGGAGCTTCAGCAGTCAACATCGCACAATGAAGAGCTCACAAGAAAGCATGAGCGCCTGGAGAAGTCACTCGAGCGCTCTCAAGCCCTGCTCAGAGAGAAAGAGGCGCAACTGACGGCGACAATGCTGCATCTTCAACCCTCATGCAAAGACGTAAGTAAGCTCCACATCCACACGTCCCTCTCTATCGCCTCTCGACCCAGCCCCATTGCATGTCATGTCTCTGCCTGCAGGCTTCAGTTCAATGCAGCCGAGTGTCGACTCCATCCTCCCCCAGACCATCTGTGGCGGCTCTCACTTCCCCCTTATTTGCAACACTGAGGCCGCACTGCCCCTCACCAGCAGCGGCTTCACCAGCAGCAGTATTCGCGGCGACACACAGCTTGCCGATTGACGCTCGCCGCACCATCAAGCCTGACAGGCTGCAGCAGAAATCCTTGCGAAGGCGGCAGATGACCCCGCGAGCCTCCCAAATGGCGTCACTGCGTGCCTCATGCCGCCTCATGGAGCAGCAGCTGAGGGTACTGCTGGATGAGCAGCAGAGACGCAACGCACAGCATGGTGCGGCGGGGAATGAGGAGGATGTCCCGTCAGCAAGGTCCGCAGCATCAAGCAATGACATGCCTCCCGAGCCCGTCACGCCGCCTGTCCCCATTGTCCCCATGCCCATGCCCATGACGGCCAAGGAGAAGACGATGGACAGAGGGAGGCGTGTGTGCCGTGAGGACATCCATCTGCCGTCGAGGATGCGGGCGTCCACCTTTGTGGTGTCTGATGCCGACGTCCAGCCGCTGGCCATGGTGCCGCGGCACACGACGGAGGAGACGACGTATGTGGAGCCGGACTTACAGCAATATCAGCATGAACCGACGAGTGGTGATGACAGGAGACACGATATAAGAGCCTGCAGGAGACAGCCGCCGCCATTTACTGGCCAGATGGAGAGGCACACTCCATCAGCCTGTCCTTCCAACACGAGTGCCGCCTCGCCCCTCGACCGCTACGAGGCACAACTGTGGCTGAAGCTGCAACGGCTCGACCACAAATCACCAGCAATAGCAACAGCAGCAACGACCCATCACGGCAAACACGTCCAGGCACCTGTGCCGCGCTTTATGACGAGAGAGAGGGAGAGAGACAAAGAGAGAGGGGGGCGGAGGGGGGCAGGGGTGGGAGTGATGGAAGACATGGACACGGGGCCGTCCTCATACACCCACGCGTTCGAGCGGCGGCGCATGACACGACAAGTGGCTGGGAGGCAAGTGGGCGGATGGGACAATGGTGGCACATCTGTGTGTGGGGAGCCACTCGGCAGACTCAACCAACTGGTACGCATATATGTTTGCCGATCGTTGCATGTGTCAGCTGCAGCGTTGATTGATGTTGTGTGTGGATGTACATGTGTGGTGTCAGGCGTGTGAGCAGCGCCTGAGGGTCACGACACTTGCAGACAAGCTCGCCAGCATCAGACGGGCGCGAGATGTGCGATTGAGAGCGACACACAATAAGTGACCCCACTTGTCGAGTCGACCACTACACCTCATCCCTCTCATGCGATTGACTGTCAAAAAACAGCACACGCGACATTGGCTGAAGGACGGCGACAGAGAAACACCCACCCCTTTTGACCAAAAGGGCCGGATAAAAAGAGATGCAGGCAGGCAGGCGGGAAGCTAGGCATACAGAAAGGCACGCACGAGCACTGACGCGACACATGGCTGCCTGTCTGCATGGAAGTGTCCATCTGTGTACTGTACGCATGTGCGTATCTCTCATACGTCGACCTTTTCGCTGGCGTATTCGTCTCCACTTCACCATGCAGCCTGCCTGACCAGCTCGGCCTTTGCCGTGGCTCCGTCTTCATCTCTGCAGCAACAAACAGACACAAACATGTGTGTGTGTGACGTGACTCGTCTGCGTCTATGTCGGGATTGGTCTTGTTCCGTGAAGATACAGCGCTTTCAGTATCGCGTAGCATCTTGACACGCACAATATCATTGGGAGGGTTTGGGAGTGTGTGTTGGCGACAGGCATGTTTGCAAGGAGCCGTTGGGCAACGGTCACACAAAACAATACAAAAATATATTGTTCGGTCCTTCCCCGGCTGCAATGGAACCTTCGCCTTTGCTTCCCGCAAGGCTCGTCAAGCTGAACGTCCGCGGCAGCGGGTTTCAGATCGGCGAAGCAGCGCTGAGAAACCATCCCCAAACAAAACTGGGTCAGCTCGTCACCGATACGGAGACTCCCGCAGACACGCCTGTGGTCGTCGATGCGGATCCCCGCTCCTTTGAGTACGTCATTCAGTACTACACCACAGGGCTGCCCATCCACATCAAGAAGGACGTTAATCCAGCCCTGCTCAAGAGAGACTTCGAGCGCTGCGGCATCGGCATCGACGTCGACAACATGAGGCTGCCGGATGGGGCCAAGCCGGATCCACCTGTCGAGGAGGGTGAGCAGCTGCACGGCAAGGCACAGATCTCGACACTTGCACTTGTTCGTTGTCTTTCTGACAGATCCTTCCAGGAGTTTGTACGAGATGCTGGCGGTCAAGACCAGTCGAACAAAGTGAGGTGACAAGCTCGTCACATCGTCAATCCTGTGCATGCTCGTACCTTTTCTTTCTGTGGATGCAGATGTGAGGACTCATCCTCTGAGTTGTCGCGATCATCGGCGCCGTCGGCGCCGGATTCACCATGCAATACGGGTGGTGGTTCCCGCTCAGGGAGGATCCCAACCGGGATGAGAGGCGCGTGGAGGTGGTCAAGACCCTCATGGACTTCGCTTTTCAGGCGATCCCGCTATTGGCCGTCACCTGCGCACTCGGCATGGGCCTCATCGGCGTCATCCGCCAGTGGATCCACACCTCCAGATGCGCCTCTCCTGCCACGCAGCCCACCCCCATGCCGCTCGAGACACCCCTTCATCGGTCGCGTCAGCACCTGCAGCCATCCAGCGCAAACACTTCAGTCGGCCGACCCCATGGGAGCTCGTCTGCGGCCGCCACCCTTCGTGACACCAACAGTCACGCCGCAAACGACAGGGAACGTCCCTCGGGCCACCTTCGACGAGTACGTCAGGAGGTGCCAAGAGCGCCTGACAGCATGATCGTGACAGAAAAGAAGGCGCAGTGAGGATGCGGCGGGTGTTTTTCTGTAAGTGTGTGTGTGTGTGTGTGTGTGTGATCGTGAGAGCGGCCTGGATGCACTTGCGTGACAGTGCCTGTGGTGGGGTGGGTGGGTGGGTGGGTGGGTGGCGGAGTGGGTGGGTCTGTGTTATGTGAAGACCTTGTTTGAAGCAGAATGTGGGAGCATGGTTGCCCCTGCGTCTTCGAGGACGTGTTGGCCGCTCCTCCTTGGCTTTCACCTACTTGTAGTCGCTAGAAGAGGTAGCCGATATCGAACGGATAGCGAATGTGACGGATCCGGGAAGCGGAAGCATATATGACAGTAAACGTACGTATGTTCGCAAGCCCCTTGGGTCAGACAATGGCGATGTCTCTCTCTACATTTGACAGTCTGTTGGTGAACGACAAGTGAACGAGGAGAAGTGTCTTGGGCGAGCGACGTGTGGGACGTTCCCACATGTGCGTGAATGTAAGAAAGAATCACTTGTGATTGACCATTGATGACTCTAGGGTCGTTGGTATCCATCAACACTGTGACAAGCCACACTGACTGACTCAATCAACACCTGACTAAGAGTGAGTGGAGAGACCCCAAAAAGGCAAGTCCCTCCACCCACCGCAAAAGACAAGAGATGCTAGAGATGGCCCGTATGACTCGGCGGCTACCTGCCTGCCTATACACTGCACTGCATGTACTTACGACGCACATCCATCCATCCATCCACTCAGGCAAGCAGGCAGGTCTTCTCACCTGCAGCTGCCTGCCTGCCTGCCGACATCCCTCATTTGAATGCATTGAGCTGAGATCAATCCGCCGGCTGTGACGACCCGGCCCATGACAGCGACGGCTTACGAGAGGCCGTCATCTCGTGAGGCCTCGCAGGCGAATACAGCTCCAACACCTGCACACACCACACACCACACAGGTCAGACAGACACACAGGCACACTGGCCGACCGACCGACCTTGTTGAAAGCATTCTCGAGCTGGTCGACCGAGAGGTTCTTGGAGAGGCAGACAAGCGGGGCCACCTCGCAGTAGGGCGGGACGAGCAGCCGCTGCTGCTGCCCGTCGTACACACTCCCGCTGTCACTCTTGTCGCTGCGGTCCGCCGCAATGCCCTTGGCCTTGTCCTTATCCTTCTTGTCCTTGTGGTGCCCGCCTTTGTCCTTCTTGGAGCCCTTCTCCTTGCTGCTCTTCTGAGCCAATCGCTCTTTCTCGAGCTCCCGACGGATGCACGACGACGATGTCGATCCCACCATCCCCCCGATGCGGCTGATCTTGCTGGTCTTGCCGCCGTCGAGCATCGGGGCGAGCCAGGTGCGCTTCCTGTCGAGCGCATCGGCAATGCTCCACGAAAAGGCGCTGGGGACAGCGGGTGTGGTGGTAGGTGTGGTCGCGTCAATGGCCTCTGCTGCTAGTGGTGCTGTGGCTGTTGAGGGGGGCGGCTCTGTGGCAGTGCTGGTGGGCTCTTCGATGGCATTCTCCCCCGTGTGGTGCTCTCCCTCTTGTATGGCCATTTCCTCGTTCTCGTTGGCAGCCTCCTCAATGGTGAGTTGCTCCAGAGGTGGGTGAGGGGGGATGGCGGGGGCGGACCCCTTTCTGTCTTTCAGGGGCTGCGAGAGGTCGCCGAGGTCGCTCATCTTGGGGCTGAGCCCTCCGGCCAGTGTGTTGCGGACGCTCTTGAAGTTTTCCACCCACTTGTCCGTCTCCATCGCGTGGGCGTGGGTGCTGCGGTCGGAGAGAGGTGGGGCAATCTCCTCAGGCGGGCTTACATCGCCGCTCGCATGCTGCTGCTGGTTGGTGCTGGTGCTGGCCGTCCCGCCCTCTGTGGCTGGTGGTGGTGGTGGTGGTGGCGGTGTGGGTGTCTCGAGCAGCACGTCACACGGGTTGACATCCTTCGCCGGGCTGGCCGTGAGCATATCGGCGCTCTCCGTCCTCACCGCCGGCATATTCGCCGGCCACGGCCCACACGGCACCGACACGGGAACAGCCTGTGGCTGGGGGAACTCCTCCTTCTGTTGCAGATGCTCTTCGTCGGACATGGGCGTCTGCTGCACTTGCTGCCACGGCTGGCCGGAGTGCAGTGGTGAGAGGCCTCGTTCGCTATCGGGTGTGGGGCTCCCCTGGCTGCCCTTGTAGAGGGACTGCGCGAGCCGGGGGAGCTGATCGCGGGTCTCCCGTGCTTGGCGGGCTAGAAGAGCGTAGTTCTCACCAAAGCCGTCACGAGCGCCTGAGAGAGATCAGGAGAGTGCGGAAGGTGTGGGTGGAGGAGGGGGGAGGGTGGGTATTGTGTTCCGACTGACCTGTGCTAAATTGTATCTCGAGCCTGTATCTGTTGGGGTCGCCCACAGGCAGCTTCCGGTTCTCCCATAACCTGCAAGGACACACACACAGTGGTAGCTAGGCATACACACCTCTCTCTCTCTGACTGTCTGTCTGTCTTTTTGTCAGGGTGTGGTGTGTATGGGATGCCATTGGCTGACCTGAAGATGACGTGTGACATGTAGTGGAGGTCTGTAACGTGCTGCAGCTTCTTCTGCGCCTCGCCGTCCAGCAAAGGCTGCACTTCGGGCGTGATGCCGCCACTGTGCAGCAACACATTCACCAACGACTGAACCAGCCAGCTCACACATGAATCGGGTGAGCTGAGCATGGGCGTCATTCACCTCTCTCTCTCTCTGTGTGTGTGTGTGTGTGTGTGTGTGTGTACCAGCAGGTGTGATGCGGATGTGACGTAGTATCGTGACCGCACATTCCTCCATGGCGACTTGATGCCCAGCGCACGGGCAGCGTCCTCCTGCAGACGGATGTGATTCCGATCCTGCCAATACTCACAGAGAGAGAGAGAGAGAGAGCATGAGCATGACCACCTGTGCTGTGTGAAGTGGGTGGGTGACCGACTGACCTCATGTTCCTCCTCATGGTGGTGCGCCTCGTGGTGCTCCTCCCCCTCGGCTGACTGCAGCCATCCGATCCATGCATCCAACACAGCACATGTCCAGCTGCCAGCCATAACTCGCCTGCCTCGTCTGTGCCATGGCTCCTCTTACGTGTCCGGAGGTCATGCGTCTGCTGACGGTGGTCTGGTGCCCCCACAGCTCGTTGGTGTTAATCACCGTCGCCTCCTTCTCCTTGTCCCTCTCTTTCTCCTGCTCTCTCTCCTCATCCCTCTCCCCCTCCACCTCGCCCTCGCCGCCATCCTTGCCTGCAGGTGGTGCGGCACTTTCGGCCACCTTACTGGGCGGCAGCCTGCCAGCAGTGCCCATGTCGGTGGCCTGGTCGGCGCGTTGGCAGGGCGGCGGGGGGGAGGGTGAGGCGGCGCGCGAGCCGGGCTCGCCGCCGGGGATGCCGGTGGCGAACGACTCGCCGGAATGGCCGGTGGGGGAGGGGGACGTGGGCACTGATGTGGGCATACACAGGTATGTAAGCACAAAGAGGCGCGGATGCAGTCAGTCAGAAAACCGGCCGGCCATGTGTGTTTGGTTCGGTGAGGGAGGGGACGGTAGGTATGTACCTGAGGGTGGTTCGCTGCCGAGTGGTGAGGGGCATGGCTGCAAGTTGAGCGTGCCCAGCTTAGACGCCACCTCGGGATGAGCTGCCAGGTACTTTACCTCAGCGGCCGCCTGCATCCATCCACACATCCACCCATCCACCCATCCATCGCAACATGACAGCATCAAATCAGGGGGCCCTCCGCAGAAACCCCTTGCCAACCCTCTCTCTCCATGCTTACCCGTTCGGTGAAGCGTGCATTGAGTTCCGTCACCTGGAACTGCCCCTTGTCGCCCTCTTCGCCCCTCTCCTTCCCTGCCGAAATCGGCGACATCGCCGGCTTGCGGGACTGCGGGGGCAATGGCGGCCGGCTCACAGGCGAACCTCTGGGCAGCTGGGGTGTTGTGGCTGCTGCTGGCGCTGGTGGTGGTGGCGGTGCTGGTGGTGCTGGTGTGGGCTGGTTGGAAGGGGCGGTGGGTGACGGATGTGACGCTGAGGCTGCTGCTGACGTGTCTGATGTGGAGTGAGGTCGGTTGGCAGCCGCGGTGGCCCTGAAGTATCTGTCCGGTGTGAGTTTGGCCTTCTCGTCTTCGTCGCGCCAGAAGGTGAGGTCCCTGACGATCTTGCGCAGCAGCTTGTGCACGACGCTCGCGCCAATCTTGAGCTTCTGCTCGTTGTTCACGCCGTACTCCTGCGGCTGCGCGTAGTTGCCCAGCGGCCTGCATCCATCCATCCATCCATCCACACGCAGCGCAGCCACATGTGTCGACATGTAGGCACCCGACGCCCGCCTTGCGTACTCGATGAGCGAGTGAATGGTGAGAGCGGTGTCGAGGGCGTTGCCGAGATAGGGGTGGTGGTGGATGAGGTCGAACCGCACGTTGTCGACCAGGTCGGGCACCTTGGACGTGTCGAACAGCGGGACGAAGCCGCGCGGGCCGTCCGGCTGCTCGCCACCCTCCATGGGCTCCCTGCCTCTTCTGACGATGCGGCCCGTCTCCTGCTCACTCTCTCCCTCATCTCGGTCGGACGTGTCCATGTCGCTCGGTGGTGGCTCTGGCGGCTTCTTCTTCGAAGGCTTGATGTACCTGACACACACAAGGGAGAGAAAGAGGGAGAGGGGGAGGCACCCATGCTGTCGGGGAGAGGGTGCGGGGAAAGGGTGCAACTGACTTACTGACCAAGCCTTATTGAGTTGTCTCCACCTCTGCTGCATTTCCTGCAGGCGCATGACGGCCCGCTGCGCGCAGTAGGCCACCTTGTCCTCGGGACACGACAGCAGCGGCTCCCACCTCTCGAGCTCTGAGCCCAGCTGACACGTGAACTGGTCTATCAAACCCTTCACCTGCACGACCAACACAACACATGGATGGGATGGGAGAGGGGTACGTTTGTGTAAAAAATGTCGTGAGGGGGTGGGGAAGGGCTGCGTGCCTTTTTCATGGATCTGAGCGGGTTTTGTATCTTGAGGAGGTTCTCGCGCAGCCCCAGGCTGAAGGTCGACGGGGCGAACTCATCCAGCAACGCAGGCGCCAATCGGAGATCCACATCGTTGTGCAGAAACTGCCACACAACACACCACACCACACCAACAATTTGCTGACTCGTAT